TTTAGCTCTCATTTTTGTTCTGTTAGCCATCAACTCCATCAAAATGAAATCAATTTGAGTTATCAGGAATAATGAAAACAACATAATTCTTGTTTTCATTTTGTTCTCACCCTCTGCTCGGGAACCTATCAAATTTCCATCGACAATTAATCATGTTATGGTGTTTTTGACAGCATTCACAACCAGAGGACCAACCGCTTTCGGATGCATATGGAGCTGGTAGTAAACGATTTGAGATTGTATGGGGATTAACAGTATTAATTGAATATTTCCAATATAAGCATGTATGTTAAATACAAGAAAAGTGCCCGAGCATATTAAAATGGTACAAATACAAGTACTCGTAAACATTTTACTTGCAATGAAAATGTATTTCGTAAGAAATTGCGGATTTTCTGATATTCTCCATACTGCAAAAATGATTTTACCAGAATTTTGACATAGAATTGAGTCATAACAGACGTGAAATTCAACTCAGGTCGAGTTTTGAACGCCTTTGGATACGGTTGTATCTAAATTTGCTCTCTGTTTTGTGCGTGCATTCTCTTTCATAGTTTTCGGCTGCATTTGCCGGATTAGCGCTGGCACTCTGCCTCCCGGACGGTTATACGTGTGTGAGTGGTGGTTTTCTCGCTTTCCGAGAAGTTTTAGAATCAAGAAAGAAAACATGATTCATCATGTTTGCAAAATTGAAAGCATCAGAAGATTAGGCGCTGCGTGGTTTTATTGTTTTTCCCGGACCAAAAATTTGTGGCATCGCGAGTGAAAATTTTAATTTCTTTTTATTTACGCGGTGATGAGCACGGCGCTGATCTATTGTTAGGGTTTTGCGATGTGCATTGCTTTTGTGCACGGAGTGTCTTGAAAAAGAAAAGTGAAGAAAAGTGATATTTGGTTGTTGTGTGGTTGGAGTGGAGAGAAAAATATGCGTGGAAGCATCGGGAATGCGCTCCCGGGTGAAGTGATTTAATGAGCACGTTCCAGTTGAAGATTGTTGACAAGTGTATTTGTGGTGATGCAAATTATGGTTTAGATGACGCATGGCTTCAAACATTTTGTGTATCCAAATAAAACATATTACATACTAAATACGCACAGGGCATCGTCTGCTGACCATTGCCGCGGGTATATCGTGGGAGTCCCAGGTACCCGGTTCAAGCTTTAGTTGGCGGCGGTGGCTCTTCTTGACCTTCTATCCCCTGAGTAGTTAGTGTGAATAAGGGCGTCTATGTGATGTTTTGCTGTACCTGTTGTGGACATCTAGTGCACCCTGTTCCCTTAACTTGTTGAGGACACCCTGTCTTGCCTCAAAAGTTACCCTTTTTGAAGTACTAGTCTTCACAACATAAAGGGCACCATTACGGAGCATGAGATTTGATCAAATTATTCGCAGTTCTACTTGTCCAACGCCCCCGGCTGGGTGAGGGATAGAGGATGACACACACACACACACTGCAAAAATGATTTTACCAGCACTGGCGGGGCGATATCTCTTGACTTTTCGGTGTAACTACCACACAAATGATGTAATTAATTGTATTCATCTATATTAAAAATATCAAATAGTAATGAACTCGTGCACTTTTTTGCATTTAAAACGGACGATATCACAAATGGCGCAATTATATCCGATAGCCCGAATTGGTGGTTAAGCACTTTTTATGGTTATTTTGTATGCACTGTATTTGTAAAACAACAAAACATGATTAATTAAGAAAAAAATCGTCAATACAGAAAATACAGATTTTTTAATAGAGTGGATACAGATTTTTTATAAAACCACCTGGCAGCTCTGCCCCTGGGCGAGATGGACCGTGAGCTGTCTCAGCCGTCCAACAGGACACAACAAAGGAAAGGAACAACCACCGTCGGACGTATCGGAGGAAAAATACTCTCATAAGCAAACTCCACACAATAAGAAATATGAAAGAACCATGTAGAATAATATTGATGATGTGAATACCAGTGCTGAGATTTGTCATTGTCATTGACAGACTTTCGCGCGATATTGACAAAATTGTTCGTCACATAGTCACTGACAGACTTGATCCTCAAAAAAACCTTCGTCAAAATCTCATTCATTTTTTCGTCAATGACAAAGATTCACCTGGTAACAAAAAGTGTAATTTAGTACATTCTGTGTCACATTATTGTTATCCAAGTAGCTCAGGACGTAGATACTTGTTCACTAAAATGGATCCATGTAATTGTTTTGCTCAAGTCATTTAATTTCGTTACAAATTTAGCTAATAAACAAATCTGCACATGTTCGTCACTGACACCATTGTCATTGACAATTGACATGGTTTGCCTTGACTATGACTCTTAGCTAAAATGAGTGACCAAAGCAGAATTGTCAATATCACCGTGTACTGTCGAGATTTTGCAGCACTGGTGAATACAGAAATATTTTCAATACCGATGTATTGACGTCAATATAAAATGTATTGACAATACGATTATTGTCAATAAAAGCAATCGTGTACGGTCCACAATAAATGTGATTACTACCTCATGGGAACTGATCGGACCTGAATCTATTTCTATTTGATCGGTTGTAGATGATGCATCAATTCCTAAAATTCGTTCGCCAGCCCCTTGAGGATGACGTAGGAAGTGGTAAGTGTGAGAAATTTGCCTTGTGTTCATAAGATAATAAAAGTCGTGTGTATTAGGGTTTTGTAATGCCCTCAAAGGCAGACCAGAAACCAAGCCTTTCGAGATGTGAAACGCAACGCTCCATCAGCGGCCGGAAAGTGTTGAAACCGGTGAGGAACATTGTTGGAGACTGAATATAGAGGATACTAATCAGTCACTTCTGTAGTTTGTTTTGTTTAAGCTGCACCATTATTTGAATTACGATTACTATCGGGAACTGATTACTGCCGTTTGCTCTAGAGCCCTCGTTAGAGCCTACGTTTCGGATTTAAATGTGAACCGAGAAGTGAATTGCTGGTCTAAGTTCCTCTGGTGTATTCAATTAGATGATGTTCCTGACATTTACAGTCAAACAATATACAATGTTGTCCCATTTTATTAAATGGACACTACAATGCCTACGATATTGTGCCGAAGGTGTGCCGAATCTACTTTCGGCACACTGTGCTGAGTGACTTACCCATTAAGGGTTAAATAATTTACTAAGGCCCTTATTACCGATCACTTATTTAGTTGTCATTTCACCGTGAAGTGTGAAGTGACAACTTATCACTCACGGTGTAGTGATTCTCATTTCATTTACACGGCAATCACTTCACCGTGAGTGACAAGTGGTCACTTCACTTCGTTTTTACCGTGAAGTGACACTCGTAATAAACCGGGACGGGACTTGACAATCCAGCTTCTCACTCTTCTTAATGTTTTTTTTTAAGAATGCCCTTCGGAAAGTTGTGCGTGGTGTTTGACGGAGTTGACCAATGATGCCATGATATTTTTTTCTAATTTAATTTGGATTTTATTCGGAGTTTCTACCACAGTTTAGCAGCTTGTACATCAGTTTTGCTCAACACAATATAAACAACCATAAACAAACAACAATATCCATCGCTTAAAATACACAGTACACTCAATTTTTCAACTTTCCTTTCGTAAATAAAAACAATTAACAACGCCATCGACGTCAATATTGATTCCGGCATCACTGCCAGGCAGATTGATATGATCCCTCTGTCCTTTTTATTCCACGATTGCTACTGTAAAATCGATCAATCTGAAACTGGCTCGGATTTGACAGCAAATAGGCTCGAAGTCGCTACCCGATTGTCAAGTCCCTTCCCAGGTAATAAGGGCCTAATTTAGCATTAAAAAAATCATGTAGAATAAATGTCGGCAATGTTTTCGGCAACCAATATTTATACGATAATTTAACTGCATTTTCTCACCAAAATATTTCGCTCAATGTATTCAAACGATTTCTCAATCTTTTAGCTTCAATCTGATCTGGATGTTACGACTGTGCAAACGCATTTGTCCAGATTTTTCTCACACTACAAAATGCTGTTGATTTCGAGTTGCCAATAATAGAACAGCAAGATAACCAGCTGTCCAAATTAAAGGTTGCCGAAGAAAAAGAGGTTGCCGACAATAGTCACACTCACCTGAGAAGTTGGAAGCGTTGTAAAAGCGTTTTAAAGCAATGTTGGACATTTCTATTTATTGGAATGAATAGAGCAGCAGGCAGCAGATGAATTTAAACAAACAAACACTATATATGAGTGCGTTACGTCGAGAAAAAGCTAAATTTCCCTATTAGGAGATTTTTCAGATGAAAAAAGGTCAAACTTTGAAGATTTTACGCCACCGTAAATCATTTCTGATTGAGCTCAAATTTTGCAGAACGTCTTTTTTCGAGGCAATAAACATTTTGTATATGATTGGTTTTTTTTAATTGGTACCCTACTGAACATGGTCATTGAGTTCCCTGGACTAGCGGAAAGGGTTCTCTTAACACATTTTGAACTTGAACTCTAAGCACTGCCATGAACATTCACTGGGTTTGTCGAGGACTGTATGACTTGCCTTAACTGTTTCAAAACGTTTGGCTGTGCTACCGGTGATGATATGACATTTTTAAGGTTTTATAGAGATGAACTAGCCTAAGGCTAAAAATCTCTTAAATAAAGAATTAAAAAAAAAAAAAAAATTAAGGTTTAATTAACCACATAAAGTTATGTTATGAAAAAATAGAGAAATTTTCATTCAAGATAACAAATTCTAAACCTATTTTTGAACCTTCATTTGCAACTATATGGAAATTGCCATGCCAAAAGATCAAGCCCCGCCTAAGCTCCATGAATCATTAAAACCAAAATATGCACGTCATGATAAGGTTATGAAACAAACCGGATGGAAAGCTTTATCATCGCCAACTGTGCTACGTCAGTGTAGGCTTTTTTTTTAAATACGTTAAGAAAGCAATGCAACCTTGATAACCGTTCAACCAACGTCAATCGGACAACATGATTAACTCCGTCCCCGTCGAGTTGCCTTGCCAAACTTACATGATAGTGACACATCTCCACTTCGTGCTGCTGCAGCCTCCGAACTCGATCCTCGCCGTGCTCCTGAACGCTGACAAAGTGCTCCACCGGTACCATCTCGTCGTTCAGCCACAGATCCAGGGTCACATTTTCCCCATCCAGGACGTAGCCTACGCTCAACTGCTCCCGCGGCCATTGACTTCTTCGAACATCATCATCATCCTCGAATGGTAATTCCTTGCCGGACTGCGAAGCATTACCACTCCGAATGGTTGGGGAAATCCGGGCATATCGTTCGAAATGTCCTGCAAGAAAAGCGAGAATCGCATATACTGTTAATCAATTATTCAAATATGACCCGGTCTTGCCTGGGAAAAACCCGTCCACACAAAAAAAAGAGTAGCAAACGCAAATGGAAAGGAGAAATGGAAATTCTCGGAAAATTCCGACATTTCGCCGTGACAAAAGAATGCAACAAGTGGTTCCCGGTGGCTCGTCATCGGTGTCGGTCGCCCAATCTAGAGCACTGCGAACCAAGCAGGGGTGGCAGGTGAAACCGTGCGGTGAACCTCGACACTCATTTTACGCTCCGAAGCCTACTGTGTTTTTAAGGGAGAGCGTGGAGCATAACGACTGTCTGTTTTTCCTAGCGTGGTAGACGCTCTCGCAAAAGCCTCAATCTCCCCTTCATTTGAGGGTGTAGTGTAGATACAGAACGTGCTGATAGTGGCGGTTCACTACCGCCTAGTGCGCCGGTAGTAAAATGCGCTTGATTGAACATCATGTGGCTTCCGAAGTCAGCTCAGCTGGTTAACGTATTTAGTGTCGAGACAGGGTGGTGAAAGGAAAGCGGGCGTAGAGGTTGTGGTGGCATACAGCAGACCGCGGAACTGCTCGCAGACGTGACGGTATGAATGAATCACAATCAATAGAGGCACACATTCGGAGAATCATCATCGCAATTGGCCCGCGGCATACAGTGTCGGACGAAATGTTTGCAAATTGGATGTTGTTTGTTAGTCCAGTGGAAACCAATAATTTGATTCACAGATTCTGAGAATTTTCCGGCTGAGACCTTGAAGATTATGTTTGGAATCAAGCAGATTTCTTTTTGATTCCTTGTTGTTCGATAACCCAAGAAGCGCTTTACTCTGGTTTACTGATTCACAGCAGTTAATCGAAAAAGATAGATTCTTGATCGAAATTGAATCATTTATTCGCACCGGCTTTTGTGCAATACAATGCCCAAGTAACATTGCAAGTTTTATCGAGGTTTTAAAGAACTCTTCAAGGCTAAACCATGGTCTTCAAGAGCGTTATAAAACCAAAATTGTTGCTTGGGTGCAGCACTAACTGATCAAAATATTTATAGTGTATGAAGAAATTGCCCGTAACAGCTGTCCATATTGTTTAGACCACAGAAAGTCAGCTGTGCAAACACGATTTAAAAAGATAGATTTCTGTATTCTTGAATATACTTAATAGGGGAAATGGCTCTAATGTTGGCCTATCGATCTAAGATTGGGTCCATCGCTAAAAATCTGCTATTTATCAATTTTATCTAGATGAACGCGTCATTGCGACGGTACTAATGGATATTTTTGGTCGCAATTGAAAATTTAGTCGATTGCTGAATTTATGTATGGGCCCAAATAAGGGGCATTTAGGCCGACATTACATCCATTTCCCCTATTTATAGATTATCGGTCTACTAGTGGACTCCTTTGGTTGAGTGTGTAAGATTTTAGAGCCAAGGCGAAATTTATCGTCAGTAGTGGAGGCGACCCCGGCGTAGTGGTTAGCATCCATACCTCTCATGCCAAAGTCACGAGTTCAAATCTCACCCCGGACAAGTCACGAATGACCCAAGAGCGTTAAAGTGACTATAATAAAAAAAAAATCGTCAGTAGTTCACATAATTTCTCGTCGGAAGATCTCTGCATTTCTCCATCGGAAAAGCTTATCGGAGTTCTGAGAACTTCTCTGAACTTCTCCTCGCATATTCGCTGAATTTCTCATCGGATGCTTTGAAGTTCTCCGGAAGATCTTTGAACTACTCACCGGAAGTTCTCTGATCTTCTCCCAGGAAGTTATCTGAACCTCTCGTTGACAATTCTCTAAACTTCTCCTCGGAAGTCGTCTGGACTTTTTGTCGGAAGTTCTGTGAAATTCTCCTCGGAAGTTTGGTGAACTTCTCCTCGGAAGTTCTCTGAACTTCCCGTCGGACGTACTATGACCATAGAGGTAACTCTAAGACCACTGGGTCCCGAAGAAAATCATTATTATTTTTGGCTCACTCAGTACCAGAACAACGGTCCCAAGCAGTCCCAAGCTATTTCACTCACCCCTGCATGTTCTGCATGAATCCACACACCCCTGATGTTATCTGTCAAACTTTCATAGCGAATCAAAACAAACATAGTGTAGTAATAGAATTTCAACTAGAATAGGGTACGTTAATCGTTTGCTTGGGACCAATAGGCTACTAAAGTGGTGAGCCAATTTAAAATCGTTAGTTTCGTATTGATTGTTGCTATGACCATCATGCCGGAGGTATTAAGAGCTTCCTGTCGGAAAATCTCTGAATTCCTCATCAGAAGTTCTCAGAACTTCTCATCAGAAAATCTCCAAATTTCTCATCGGAAGTTTTTTTGGACTTCTCCTCTGAAATTGTCTGGACTTCTCGCTGGAAGATCTCTGAACTTATCTTTGGAAGTACTCAGAACTTCTTGTCGGCAGTTCATTGCACTTCTCATCGGCAGTACTCTGAACTTTTCGTCGAAACTTCAGGGAATTTTAATGAAGTTCTGTGAAATTTTCGTCAAAAGTTCTGTGTACTTTTTATCGGAAGCTCTGGGAACCTCTCGTCGAAAGTTCACTAAAGTTCTCTTCGGAAGCTCTCTATGTTTTCCGTCGGAACTTCAAGGAATTTAAATGAAATTCTGTGAACTTCTCGGAACTTCTTTTTAGAAGATCTCTTAAACGTGTCGTCGGAAGTTATCCAAACTTTTCGATGGAACTTCCTGTTGGAAGTTCTCTGAACTTCACGTCGGAAGATTTCGCAGTACTTCTGGTTTTATGTTAAGGGAAAATTAATTAATTTCTGTGAATATTGCGTTGGAAGTTTCCGCGTTGATTTGTGAAATTTTCGCCGGAAGATCTCTGAACTTCGCGTCTGAAGTTCTGTGTGATCTTTTCGTCAGAAGTACAATAAACATCTCGTCGGAAATTCACTGAACTTGACATTGGAAGATCTTTAAACTTCTCGACGAAAATACTCTGAATTTCTCGTCGGAACTTAAGGCAACTTTAATTAAGTTCTGTGACATTTTCGTCAAAAGTTCTGTGTACTTTTTATCGGAAGCTCTGTGAACCTCTCGTCGGAAGTTCACTAAAGTTCTCTTTGGAAGTTTTCTGTATTTTCCGTCGGAACTTCAGAGAATTTAAATGAAATTCTGTGAAATTCACGGAACTTCTTTTTAGAAGATCTCTTAAACGTGTCGTCGGAAGTTATCCAAACTTTTCGATGGAACTTCCTGTAGGAAGTTCTCCGAGCTTCGCGTTGGAAGATTTGCAGTACTTCTGGTTTTAACTTCAGAGAAAATTTAATTAACTTCTGTGAATTTCACGTTGGAAGTTTATAGAACGCGGAAGTTTAAAAAAAATTTCGTCGGAAGTTCTCTGAACTTCGCGTCCGAAGTGCTATGTGATCTTTTCGTCAGAAGTACAATGAACATCTCGTCGGAAATTCGCTGAACTTATCATCGGAAGATCTATAAACTTCTCGACGAAAATACTCTGAACTTCTCGTCGGAACTTCAGGCAACTTCAATGAAGTTCTGTGAAATATTCGTCAAAAGTTCTTTGAACTTCAAGAAAGCTCTGTGAAATATTCTTCAAAAGTTCTGTGAACTTATTATTGGAAGTTATCTGAATCTCTCGTTGGAAGTTATGTAAACTTTTCGTAGGACATTCAAGGAAGTTCTCTAAGCTTCTCGTCAAAAATTTCCCGAACTTCTCGTTGGAAGATCTCTGAAATTCTCATCAGAAGTTCTCTGAACTTCTGTTCGGAAGTTCTCTTAACTTCTTGTCGGAACTTCAAAGAAGTTCTGTGAACTTCTTGTCGAAAGATTTCTGAACTTCTCGTCGGAAGATCTCTGAAGTTCTCGTCGGATTGTTAGTGATTAACTTAAGGGTGAGGACTTGTTAGTGGCTTAAAGGTGAGTGTTTTGGACTGGTTGGAATCGCTGGGACTCGTTGACAGTACGTCAAAAGTTCATTGAACTTCAAGGAAGCTCTGCGAAATATTCTTCAAAAGTTCTGTGAACTTCTTATTGGAAGTTATCTGAATCCCTCGTTGGAAGTTATGTAAACATTTCGTAGGAAATTCAAGGAAGTACTCTAAGCTTCCCGTCAAAAATTTCCCGAACTTCTCGTTGGAACATCTCTGAAATTCTCATCAGAAGTTCTCTGAACTTCTCGTCGAAAGATCTCTGAACTTCTGTTCGGAAGTTCTCTTAACTTCTTGTCGGAACTTCAAAGAAGTTCTGTGAACTTCTGGTCGAAAGATTTCTGAACTTCTCGTCGGAAGATCTCTGAAGTTCTCGTCGGATTGTTAGTAATTAACTTGTTAGTGGCTTAAGGGTGAGTGTTTTGGACTGGTTGTAAAATCGCTGGGACACGTTGAAGAGTACGCAGTTCTGTTTGATATTTTCGTCAGAAGTACAATGAACATCTCGTCGGAAATTCACTGAACTTGTCATCGGAAGATCTTTAAACTTCTCGACGAAATACTCTGAATTTCTCGTCGGAACTTCAGTCAACTTTAATGAAGTTCTGTGAAATATTCGTCAAAAGTTCTTTGAACTTCAAAGAAGCTCTGTGAAATATTCTTCAAAAGTTCTGTGAACTTGTTATTGGAAGTTCAGATAACCTCTCGTTGGAAGTTATCTAAACTTTTCGTAGGAAATTCAAGGAAGTTCTCTAAGCTTCTTGTCGAAAATTTCCTGAACTTCTCGTTGGAAGATCTCTGAAATTCTCATCAGAAGTTCTCTGAACTGATCGTTGGAAGCTCTCTGAAGTTCTGTTCGGAAGTTCTCTAAACTTCTTGTCGGAACTTCTTGTCGAAAGATTTCTGAACTTCTCGTCGGAAGATCTCTGAGGTTCTCGTCGGATTGTTAGTGATTAACTTAAGGGTGAGGACTTGTTAGTGGGTGAATGTTTTGGACTGTTTGGAAAATCTCTGGGACTCGTTGAAGAGTACGCAAGAGAGGCTGACAATGCAAGCTTGTTCGGTTAATAAGACGGAGATTCTCTGTAGGTGATTCAAAATGTCGGGAATCTGATCATCAGGGAGGGCTTGAAGCTCCTGGGACAAATGCTCCATCTAGATCATTTATGGAGCATCTCCCTCTAATTAATGGAACAGTCCTTAATTGAAAGGTGGCGCCTCAACTGCGTACTCTTCAACGAGACCCAGTTATTGCCAACCAGCCCCTTAAGTTCACGGAAAACACTAACAACTCCGATATCACATTCGTGAGCCGTCGGATTATGCTGACGATAAGAATCGGGATTCTTGATCAATCCGCAGTACAGCATCTTCGAAATAATCTTCTTACACGACGTTACAATATCCAGCTTTTCAGAAATTTCTTCTCGCATACTTCACCCAGCAATCTAAAACACATCGGAATGATCAAAGTTAATCACGCATGCCGGACCGTCACCAGTCACTCCAGAGTTTTATATTTCTTTGATAGCATCATCGTCCTGGAATGCATTGGGTGTGATCTTCTTCAATTTGTACAGCCTTCGTTGAAGAAGATAGAAGTGGTTTTCGAAGATGGCTGCCATCTTCGACGGCAGATCCTAAATCAGCAATGAGCAGAATATCTAGACCAACAATTAATCTTTTTGTCAAGCTTCTGAATTCATTTTCCATCAGATGTCACTGCTGTTTTGGCGGAGACATCATTAGGAAACTAAACATAATTTGTTTTCCGTTAATTGTTCACAGAGGACAGTGCAGTACAAAAAACATGTCTGGTACCTCTATATTTGCATTTAGATTAACATCCGAAGTCCCTCCCTTTTTAAACATTCTGCACACAAAATAGTTCACCCCTCACAGGATTTCCCGCCGATTTTTATGGGGCGGGGCAGAAAGTAACTTTTGTGCAGAATATGTCAAAAGGAGAGACTTTGGATGTTAATCAAAATGCATATATAGAGGTACCAGACATTTTTTTCAATATCAGGTACTCTATTCTATAGTCTGTGAGAGGGAAATCACAAATAGAGTGTCATCAAAATACATTGCTTGTTGAAAAATTGAACTAGTGAGAGCAACTTTTCTCTCTCATATTTGAATTTTTTGGCTCTCTAAGTAAGGTAGTAAAGCAGGTAAAACTGTATGAGGAAAATCATTTTTATTTAATTGTAGCTTGTTTAACAATAATTTCCGGGAAAAAATTGAACGACAAAGTCCCTGACTAATTTCTTTAGGTTGTCGTTCACTTTTATGATCAGAATATGCACCGAAAGCGCGTTATTCCCACTTCTCTACCAGCGGAACAGCGCCATCTCTTTGGAAAATGACCGGAAGATATGATCAATTGAAATAGGCGCAACAACCAAACGTAAGAAATGGCTTTACACGAAAATTTCACGAGAGTTAAAACACATCCATGCAATCCAACACCAGTATCTGAAAAAAATAAACGTCCGTTATCGAATGGTATTGTTAGTTTGCGTAGGTCTGTTTTGATTTTCGAGAAATCAACGTTTAAAGCTATTGTTTATGTTTGGTTGTTCCACCTATTTCAATTGTTGGTCTAGTACTGTTCTTCCGGCTGCATAACTGAATACAGTCACACCTTGACATTATTTACAATCCGAGAGAGGAACACGCAGTCATTCTAAGTTTTATCCTCTCTTGATGCTTACCGAATGGAATATTAAAATTTAATCAAGATTTTTGAAAATCTGAATTAAATCGCGTATTATCCTTGACGGAGCTTACTGCCATTAGTGTTCGAAATATGAATCGGAACGGTATATTTCACAATTAATCTATGATTGTAACCTACCAGTCATTTCGTATTTTTAGTTAGTTGATAATAGAAGGAGACATAAATTAAAAAAAATCCCTTTCAAGGATTTCAATATAGATCACCTGACTATGTAAGTCGTATTTCTATATGTATATACATTTAGATTCGTATCTGAAGCCCCTCCTGTTAAACATACTCACCACGAAAATTTGAGCTATGGAAGCATTTTGTGTATTGAGTATGCTTAAAAGAAGGGGCTTCTAGCCTCTGAGTGGAAAGAACTCCCCTAACACAGACTTCAAGTCGGACCTTAACAGATAACTAGTTTTAACTTAACACTTTTTGAATCTAACCAGTTGAAATGTCAAAAAGATCAAACTCAAAATCGCAAAAATCAGTTGCAATTGTTTCATCCACTACTGTATGTTGATTTAGCTAACCCCATGCCGGATGAAGTCAACTTATGCGACTCCTTTTACTGCTTCTCTGCTCCACCAAACACACTCACTCGCGTTGTCTTTCTCTCAATTCTGCATGCCGTCTCCGTTTACTTGCTAGTCGCTTTGTTTCACCCCCTCCCATGCCGAGATAGTCCCACCAATCAATCCGGCATAGGAAACTCTAATGATTCATCAACTCGGGGCAGACGAATGCTTTGGAATGTAATATTCTCGGAATAGCATCCGCCAGCTCTGCGAATTTGCAACGAAACAAACGACTTCCAACTTTGGCACCGACAAATGTCATTGTTGAATTGAACCAAAACCCTTAGAAGGGATCCGGGGGAATTCGTACGGCCCAACTAGTGCGGCTAGTGACCTACCTTGGTTTCCGCTTCCGGAGTCGGCCGCCGCCACGCTGCCGCAAACCGCAATTATCACAGCCGTCGTTACGATAGTAAAGGCACTCGTTGTTGATAGCATTGCACACACTAAGATAAGACTTTTTATTTTCCCCGTTCAATTTATCACTAAACACTCGATCACTAGTTGAGCTCTTGAGCCGATCGCAGCAACCGGCTCATCTCCACTTCAAAAAATGATGAATTAGCACCGCTCGAAAGAGCTTTATTTGCTTGCGTTTCCAGTTATAACTTCACAAATCACAAACGTTGTAATTTTAAATTTTGTTTTAGTATTATTATTATTGATGGGGATCACGACGCACGAGGCCGACTGGATGACTAACAAACGAGTTTCTTCTGTTTTGTCGGATTTATCTTCTCAGCACACAGCACAGCACGGAGAGAAGCAGTTCTTGAGAGTTTGATGTTTTTTTTTACTTCGCCTATGTTTCTGTGTTCGCGGGAGTCCAGTCCGGTTTCTGTGTGCCGCCGTTACTAATAATGCGTCCTCATCCAGTCGTGGTTGCGATGCTTCTGATTCGAACGAAACCACCGCGCGGTAGAAGGCTTGTGAACGAACGACGAGAACACGTGTTCATTATTATTTTTCATCAAGTGGTTTGAATTCATTCCGGTTCACTCGATGATAAGTGACCTATGGGTCAGTCACACTTTGATTAACATTTTGTTGATTTGGTTTAACACATTTAAAATTGTTCAGCAAATTCGAACAAGAGCTGTATAACTTGACAACCAGTGAGACGCCACCTATGGAGGACCCCTCGGCTCGGGTATTGTTTTGTTTTGACACGATTATCGTTGCTGCGGTTTCATGAGCGAATGGAAATTCCACAGCATGAATGAATAGTTATGATAAATGAACCTACCTAGGTATAATATCACTGAGTCGCATGAGTCACCTGTGTTTACGTTTTCTTCATCAAACGATTAGGCGATGGATGTGGCACACACAGGTTGGTAGGTACCCATGGTGACTTTGCATAGTCGTTAGGGTGATTCAAAATGTCGATTTTGCCTCACCAGGCTTGATCGATTCTAAACTCCCTGTTGTTAATATTTCGTGAATTGAAGGTGGGCTCTTCTCCCCACTCATTGGAACATTTTTATCATTGGAAGGAGATTCATCTTGCTCCCGTGGATCATGCGTAAATGTCTCTGCTTACGGGTCCACCCTCCGTTTTTGGCCCTTCATACAATGGTATATTGAATACAACCAGGAATCGTACTTGATCAAGTAATACGAGGTGGACAGTCCACTGTCTAATGGCTGTGCCCTGCAACAATGAGTGGTATCCTTTACATACATACGTACCAGGCTCAATCGATTCTAAATCAGATTTCCGATATCAAGACCAACAATTGAAATGGCCTTAACTCCATTTTGTAAACAAACCTTGTAAGGCCATTTTCTCGCGAAACGAAACCTTCATTCGCAAACCTAAACCACAATCGGGTAGAGGAGGATTTCCCCTTTATGTTGGTTTGCCTTTGCGGACTTCGGTTCGTGAGAAAATAGCCTTACAAGGTTTGTTTACAAAATGGAGTTAAGGCCATTTCAATTGTTGGTCTTGATATCTAGATAGAGCTGGAATTAGGGCGTAACAGCATTTGTAAACTATGAATTCTATCGATGATTTCTAGGAACTCAAGGCACGCCCACGCAAACCAAAACAACCGTCGGGTAGGGGAACTCTTCCCCTACCGGATGGTGTTGTTGATTTGCGTTGGCAAGCCTTAACATACTAGAAATCATCAAAAGAAGTCATTGTTTACAAAAGCTGTTATGCCCTAATTCCAGCTCTATCTAGATATGATTAATCAATTGCTTGCAGAGCAACACTGCATCTTGCTCTTATGACATAGTAGCCTGGATTATTTCCCCTTATTCTTCGCGCCAAGCACGCCAATATTGCCTGCTCATCAGTTTAAGGAGCATGTCAGTGTCAGATGAATATCGTTTTCTTAATTCATGAATAACTAATTATTTAAATGCGGTTTTGAGCAAAGTTGCAGTTGAGCACATGTACAAGTAAAAATAGCAAACTTTTTCCGTAGATCATTACAGCGAAAGGTTAGAACGATGAGAACAAAAAGTTCCCTTTTCCCATAGTCCTCAAATTTTAGGTGAATTGTCAGTTCCTGATTCGCAAACGATTGAGCTTGGTGGACCACCCTAATATCAACCTACTCAGCCCAGAGCAATACGACCACTGGATGGCATGAATTGATGTCATTGTACTTTTGCCGGGGTAGCCCCGCAAGAAAGGAATTTCGTGACGTAGACGTTCCGCGTAGGTGGTTCTGATGGTCTGCCACGTGCGGTTTATGATGGAAGGGAGGTGTCGATTAATCAGTGACATGAGAGGCACCCCTCATCGTTTTTGTTGGATGCTACCAGGATAAATTAGAAGGAAACGGACGAGTGAAAAGATTTATTCGCTTTGTTCGAGCGGTGAGTCATCGATTTTAGTGTTTGGAGTTCCCTGGTTATGAAGAGTGCAATTCGACAGTGAGCATGCATAAGGGCGTAAACGCGATGATCGATTCTCTGCGTCGATTTTCTCTTTTGTTAATAACTCGCTAGAATTAACGTTTCTTGGTGCGTTTGCTGTTGCTTTTGATAGCCAATACAACCTGTTACAACTCTGCATTGAACAAATGGAAGAAATTTTTTTCGCTTAGCTGTAGCAATGCAAAGAGAAAATCGATGAAGAAAATCGATCATCGCGTATACACCCTTATGCATGCCCATTGTCGAATGTATCTATACTTCTATCCAGCTTTCCATGCTCGGTAATGCACAGTGGTTGAAAAGTCCATTTTGACGCTCTTAATTAATAGCACCATGGATAGCGGATTTAGAGTAAGGAAGTCTTCAGAAAAATTGATAAGTATGACATGCTTCATATTTTGAAGGCATGGGTTTTGTGATTAATCCCCATAAAAGTGAAATGAAAAATTTATTTTTTCACAATGTTGAGATCAATGATTGACTTCTCCAGCAAAGTTGTAGCAAAAATGAATACAAACAACTTTGCTCAAGACATAAAAGTCCTAAATTTCACTCAAATCGAGATAGGGAGCGTTGTATGAGAACGGACCCCTAAAAACACGTTTTTCATCAAAACACATATTTTCTTTAATTTTAGATCTTCATTATGTTCAACAAAGTTGATTGGTATACTAAAATACACTTCTTTTTAGAACATACTATACCAGCATCATTTTAATAGGATGAGTTATTGATAAATTTTCTTCTATTTTCCTCATATGTTGGACTTGCGCATCTTTCTTAGGTGCAAGAAGGTTCAGATGAAGTCAAATGCATCTAAAACTACATTAAAAGAGCTTTCAAATGGTGGTAAATTTGTCCGTCCACAACCGTCTGCTGGAGAGTTATGATCAAAACAAACACCCGTTAATAGGCTTTATAGAAGTCATGTCAACAACAAGGGGATACTGTGTTTTATACCGCGTAATAAATTCGTTTCCATAGTAACCGGCTCAATAAACAAATTTCCCACTTCTCAGAGTTTATCAAATTCATGAACGGCACATTTTCTTTTCAAAAGTTGCCCAGAAGGCAAAACTGAAGCATTAAGAACGAAAAAGAAAACTGTCAAATTCAGTTAAACTTGTGAGTCGATAAGGGTTTTCCACTGTTTTTCATCAAGCGTGAAACAATTCTAGATAAGCGTTTCAAAAGGTCCTATCTGCATTGATCGATTCTCTTCATAGACTTTATCTCCCGTTAATAACTCAGCTGCAAAACCTTTCGCTATTGTATTTGACGTTTTGGATGCTAGATAAGAATCTCCTTTATCAAACTATGTTGTAACATAAGCGCGAAATCTGTTTGCATAGCAGTGGTTATCAAAAGAGAAAGTCGATTAAGAGAATCGATCAAAGCAGATAGGACCATTTGAAATGTTCATCGAGAATTGTGAAAGTATATGAAAGCATGTAAGATAGAAGAACTGCGGAAGCCAAGCGAAGGAGAGAGAGACTAATTCTGCCAAAAAAAACCGGACAGCAGAGGAAGCTACGAGAGCAGGGCTTTGAAGTAAAATGGCATTATCTGGAAGGGCTTAATTTCTTTTAAATTTTTCAATTCATCATTAGGTCACAACAAGTGCCAATGATCTTTTTTTCTTGATTCAATTTAAGTTGAAATTGATAAGCGTGATCTCTTGTCACTCTGGTCAAAAACTAGTGGAGGTCGATCATCAAAATTCAACTGCATTTATAAGAAGGTACTCCAGTGTTATGCCATAAATGTGAATATTATGCCGGATGTGGCTGCACATGTCGGAAAACCCGTGAAAACGAAGTGCGACTTTTTTGAAAAGCTCTGGACCAAACATGCTCGTGCATGGTTGTCAAGTGTCACGCCAAGTATTTCAGTAAGCCGTTCACACTTCCTGAAAACGTTTTAAACTTGCTTCCGTCTACTTCTGAAAATGCAAAAAGTATGGCAGGACGAAAGGTTGTTATTTTCGAAGAATGTTGTGAAACAACGTAGAGGAAAAAAACTGCAGAGGTTCGAAATAGCTACCATCTTAATGAGCTAGCATTTGTGACACAAATGAAGAGGTGATGGATATCCTGAAAAACGTTTCTCACGCAAGTCCTGCAGATGAAAATAAGTTGGTTCATTCATTGAAGAAGTCCTTGAGCAACCCTATACCCGAATACACAGATCTACAAGCTTTGACTTTGTTAATCAACACCAACCTATCGAACCTGGTATTACTTGCCAGCTAGTATTCATAAAGTATTGATACATTTATCAGCCGTGATCAGTGTTCACTCGGCTGTCGACAAAAGCAGGCCACTCTCGATGTGTGCTACGCGATCGTCGGTTTTCTCGGCAGCAACCATTGTGTGGTCCTCCTCATTGTTCTTCATCAGCAGTTTTTTCGGTCGATGCGTCGTCGACTTTGGAAAGCAACCGTTTCGTGATGAGTGTGTGAGTGCTGACCACGTTTTGCGTCCATTGTTGCAATGGACGCGCTCTGACCCTCGTTGGCGTACAACAATTTGCCATACAATGAAACTACTGGAAGCAGCTCCAGTTCTGATGGAGGAGGCTTTTTGGATAGCGGAAGATAAAGTGTTTATTGTGTTGTACCTTTTGACTATAGTTTTAAGATGTATTGTAAAGTGACCAAGAATCCTCGGCTCTGTAAAGTTAATTCGGTTGAGCCTTATCAAATAAATTAATAAACATATTTATCAGCCGTGATTGAACATTTCCTTATTCTAATCGGTCAGCTTTCTGAGGAAGCACAGGAGGCAAGGAACAAGGATTGGAAGAGGTACATGTATTTAACCAAAATAACAACGAATAAAATAATAACACTTTTATTTAACAGATACCAAGAGTTCAATACTCGCAAGCAATCAAGATCGTTTACAAATCGTGATCTATTGAACTGGCTCTTAGTATTATCAGATCCATTGATTACTAGCATTCGTGGATGGCCTAA